AGCAGCTGGTGAATTTGAACCACTGACTTTGCAGCTCAAACTGACCTTGTCAAGTGTTCAGCCTACAGTGCCACACCAGAACTACAGTTTAATAATGTTGTTGTTATTGTTAAGTGCCGTTGAGTCAGTTCCAACTCATAGTGACCCTGTATAAGGTTTCTGAGGAACAGCTGGTGAGCTTGAACCACCGAATTTCCAGTTCAAACTGACTTTGCAATGCAGTGCATTAACCCATAATGCCACACCATGACTCCACAGCAGTATGAACATGCTAAAAAGAAGGGATTCTGACGCCTCCTGGTGCCAGGTTCAGTCTGGTCAAAATAATAAAGTAAAATGTAACAGTTGTGGGAGCAAGGAAAAGCCAGTATTTCCAGAACAAAAAACAGAATATCTTCTAGAATGATTAGAAGAATCTTTTAGTTAACAGACTTCTTTAAAGACTAAAAAATAAATATTTTCATAGCGAGCTCACAGGCAAAGGAGAAGGGAAACAGCAAAGAAGGGCCTGCTAGATTTCTGTTCTCCCAGAAAGCAGTTCAGGAAAGAAGTACTTGGTCTCTCCCAGAGACATCACCAGGAAAGCTCCTTTAGGGAGGTTTCCCAGACAGATGTTTAGGGATCCCTGGTTTATATCACCCAAACCCCTTCTTTCTCAAGAGGGTAGTGGGGCATCAACAGGACTACTATGAATTCACTGGAGTCTTTAAACACAAATGCTAAATCCTTAAAATAATCAAAACTCTGTTAGTTAAAAATGAAACAAAGTACATTATGGTACGTAAATACAGTACCACCAAAAGCATAAAATTCAGACAGTAAATGTGCCCCCCCCAACACACACATACAATTTAACACGGCCACCACTCACCTACACCAGCCTCTCCGTAGCCCAAGTGGGGCGGGATGACCACTGTTCGTTTCTCTCCAACACACATCTCTCTAAGAGCCATATCCATGCCCAGCACGACCTGTCCAGACCCCAAAACGATATTATACGTTTTGCCTAAATTCCACCTGAGAATGAAACAGAAGAGTTTCTAATTAGGCCACCAACTTGTTGGTACTTGAGAGTGATCTCATGAGAAAAACACAACATCCTATCCGTGGTATTTCTGCCAAAGATGTACAATCTTGATCTAATCATGAAGAACATTCTGTACAATAACCAGCCTATATCTTCAAAATGTCAAGGTTAAATCGACCTTATGGTTGAGTGCTTACACCAGGACTCCCCTCAAAGTAGAGCTGACCTTAATAACATGAATGGAGCAAAGCTTTCGGGATCTTCATTTGCTGATGTGGCATAACTCAGAATAAGAAAAAAACATCGACTAATAATCACAATTGTGGAATGTACAAAGTATGAATTTAGGAAAATTAGAAGTTGTCAAAAATGAAATGGAATGCATAAAGATCTATATCCTAGGCATTGGTAAGTTTATTGGCTACTCTGTATCAGATAATCATATGGTCTACTGGAAATGACAAATTGAAGAGGAATAACAACACAATCATTATCAAAAAGAGCATTTCAAGATCTATATTGTAAAGTTTTTTGCCGTGAAGCCATCAAGGCAAGCAATCAAGTTCCTTCAGGACAAACCCCCCTCTAAATCTGAAACTCAAAGGGAACACATGAGCAGGCATGTAAACTTGCTGGCAACCACACTGGCTACTGGTGAGTGGATTAGTGGGAAAGGCAGCAATGAAGAAATGGGCTGAGTTCAACCACGTTCCATAGACTCCCGTTGACTTGGAGATGAGAGAGAGAAGAGAAAGAGCTGGTTGGTCCAAAGTGTAGTGAGACCTGGGAACACTTGAGCCCATGGACAAGGATATAGCTATAGAGGGCTAGAGCTGAGAGTGAAGCAGCTGATATGAAGTGAGGAGAGACGCACAAGAACACCCAAACTTGCAGACACTACCCATTTGACCTAACCTCGATGGCTTGATAATCAGAACTCGACTAGAGGAAGATAAAAAAACAATTTTTAAAATAAAGGAAACAAGGGTAAATTGCTGCAATTTGATGAACTTGGCCTATACTCATGGAAGTAGTAACTCTAAATACCAACAGAGAGGGAAGGAGTCTTCACATCAAGTGTCAATGCTATCCCCTCTGTACACAGGGTAGATAGGGACAGGCAACTTAGACACTGGCTACCTAAAATGAGGGGCAATAAAGGCACTAAGTGACTATCTTACAGGTTTCAAGAGGGAGTTTAGTTTAAGAGTGGGGGGCAGGGGGTAGACAGTATCCCCATGGAATAGTTTTCATCTTGTCTAGATGGATCGGGTAAAAAGAGATGGGGATAAGACACTTATGATTCAATAGTGAGTAATTGTTATCATGACCAATTCAGAATGTCACATTTGTAAAGGCAGAAGGTTTGTAACAAAAATAAGGGAGTAATTAATCTTATAGTCCAGGAACAGAGACTCCTAGGACCATTAAGGGAGAAGAGCACAAGCGGAATGCAGGACCATTAAGGGAGAGGAGTGCAAGCGGAATGCAGGACCCTATCCAGAGAAGCAGCGACACCAGAGATAAAAGCAGAGATGGGGACATAGAGAGAGGGAGCAGCTGAGGACTCTAGATTCATGGGAAGAGAGGGACTAAGAGTTGGTGGCTAGGAGGCAGGCTTGTAGAATGTGCCCTTTGGTGGTTTAAATTATATTATATATGCCTGAGTGTTCTTGTTGTGTTTTTTTTTTTTAAAAAAGAGCTAAAATGAATATAGAGAAATACGTGGAGGGGATTATAATCATTGCATGAAATAAAGCATATGATTTGTTGAATGTAGAACTGATGATCTGCTCTGTAAACTTTTACTCAATTCATAATAAAAACTTTAAAAAAACACTATCTTGTAGTACAATGCTGTCTGTGATAGAATAATATTCATATGCCTACAAGACCAGTTAATACTACTATTATTCAAATTTATGCATAAACCACTGAAGCCAGTGATGATGAAATTGCGGCATTCAACCAATGTCTTCAGTCTGAAATTGATCAAGCATGCAATCAAGATGCATTGATAATTGCTAGTGATGGGAATGTGAAAAGTTGGAAGCAAAGATCAGTAGTTGGAAAATATGACCTTGGTGATAGAAATGAGGCTGGAGATTGCATGATAGAATTTTGCAAGACCAATGACTTCTTCATTGCAAATACAGTTTTTCAACAATGTAAGAGGCAACCATGTTCCTGGAACTCACCAGACAGAACAGACAGGAATCAATTTAAGTATATCCATGGGAGGAGACAATGCAGAAGCACAGTATCATCAGGGAAAACAAAACCAGGGGTAGACTGTGGAACAGACTACCAACTGCTCATATGCAAGTTCAGGCTGACGCTGAAAAAAACCTAAAACAACTCCACAAGAGCCACAATATGGCCTTGCATACATCCCACCTGAAATAAGAGACCATTTCAAGAACAGATTTGTTGTATTAGACACTAATGACAGAAGGCCAGGAGAGTTGTGGATGACATCAAGAACATCATATAGGAAGAAAGCAAAAGGTCATTTAAAAGACAGGAAAAATAGAAAAGACCAAAGTGGATGTCAAAAGGGACTCTGAAACTTGCTCTTGAGCATAAAGAAGCTAAAGCGACAGGTAGAAATGATGATGTAAAATCGTTGAACAAAAAATTTCAAAGGGCAGCTGGAGAAGACGAACTCAAAGATTATTAATGGAAAGTTAACCTGGATTATTAATGGATTATTAACCTGGAGTTAGAGGACCAAAATGGAAGAACACACTCAGCATTTCTCAAACGGAAAGATCTGAAGAAAAACTTCAAGTCTTGGGTTGCAGTATGGAAAGCCCTGGTAGCACAATGGGTTACACGTTGGCCTTAACATCAAGGTCAGAAGTTTGATTTCACCAGCCTCAGAAACCCTTTATAGGGTCACTAAGAGTCAGAACCAAATAGACAGTACATAACAACTAACCATGCACAAAATATTGAATGACACTGGAAACATCAAAAGAAGATGGAAGAAATACAGAGCACTGTACTAAAAAAAAGGTAGTTATTCAGTCATTTCACGACGTACCATATAATCAAGAATCGATGGTAATCTTGGAATGGT